CACTGCTGACGCCGCACCGGCAGGGTCGTCTTTTATTGCACACCAGCATTCACCGCCAATCAATGACCTTCGTAAATGCCCAAATTCTTCATGATTCGCGAGAGGACAGCCTTTTCTTCAATCACACGGTAGTGGTGCAAGCGTGCGTACAGACTGGCATGCCCCTTCACCGCCTTCCGAAGTTCCATTGTGTAGCGAACTATGTTTCGCATCGGGACGATTGCTTTCACCGACCTCCCATCATCTTGAATGTCCACCGCAATGGCCTTCCGCTCGCTCAGAGAGCTCACAACACCACCAATGTAGGCTGCCTCCGAGAGGTGCACCTCCACCTCCATCATTGGCTCCATCGTGGCAAGATTGGCCTTGGAAACAGAGCGAAACAGCTCCAATACAAGGGAACGAGCGGCCTGCTGTAGAGGGCCCTCCGACAGCTGCGTGCCACCAAGCTTTTTGAATTCCAGCAAAGCGACCCGCACGCCGTGGAGAGGCAAACCGGCAAGGGGACCCATGTGAGAACAATCGGTGACTGCGCGAGAAAAAACATCGGTGATGATTCGTAGTTCCTCCTTCAAATTACGGTGGTGATCCTCCATGCGGCGACGTCGATCATTACGGGAACCAGCGGCTCCAGCAAGATATTTCTCCGTCAACGTCTCGTCAATAACAAAGGAACAACATTGACCTGGATCGCAGAAGCCATCTTCCTCAAGTAGTGACTGGAGTCGCAGCGAACACTCAACGTATGGGAGCTCATTGTACATCCCAATCCCATGCAGTAGCTCCACTGTCTCAAGGACTACCTCACGATATTCTACGATGGCACGTAGTAGTCGACACTTTAGTTTATAATCGTGCTCCAAGCGGGACATGACAATTTCAAGATGTAATTCTCCCATGCCACTCAAGACCATTTGACCAAAATCATTCTTATGCACACACAAGCTAGGGTCTTCAAAACTCAGCTCCTGAAGAGCAGCCTCCAAGAGGGGAATTTGCTGCTTTGTGGCTGCCTCAACAGAAAATGAAATAACAGGCGGTGGGGGTTGAATGCCCTCCAGTGTGAATATCTCATTGTTGGTGTGATCTGCATCCAGCTGAAACTGCTGGGGAGCTCGAAAAAGTGTGGCACCTGTCTTGGTAGATTGCATGAAAGCCGCACCAATCTCTCCCGCAACAAGGTGTGGAACCTCCAGCTGACGATTTGCATGTATCACATACAATTTTTCAAGATTCTCATGTCGATTACAGTTATTGTTCACAAGCGTCATATTGGGTGTTATTTTGCCGCTGTAAACGCGGAAGAACACCAATGGTTGGCGTCTTCCTTTGGGACTTGTGGCGTGCGTCACCTTAAACGCTAGCGCCAGCACAGGGACGGACGGTGCACTCGTTGCGGGTGGGAGAGGCACTATTTTTCCGTCACGCGCGTAGCCAGTGAGAGGTCGATCCCGCGGAGACGGCAGGTAGTACGTGATGGCATCCAGCAACGGTTGCACGCCCTGATCACGTCGGGATGCACCACAAAGGAGCGGCACAGCAGGCCTCGGAACACCTTGACGCAGTGTTTGACGGCGTATCGCTGCACGTAGCAGGTCACTTGGAATTAGGTCCTCTGCCCTCTTCTCATCCCCGTCAGTTTGGTCCAATAAGGCGATAACGGCGTCTGACAGTGGATCGTCGAGCTTAGTCAACGTCGAGATGAGCTCGTGACGGGCAATCAAAGCAACCTGCACAATGTGCACCGGCTCAGAGTCAAGCAAACGTAAATCCTTAACCTCCACATCCAAGCCATGGGTGCCTCCAAAACGACATGTCGTCATCTCAACGACATCTATCACGCCCTCAAAGGCGCCGTCCTCTGATTGAAGTGGAATTTGTAGCAGAAGTGGCTCCACCTCCAGTTTCTCCCGGATAGATCCCACAGACTTTTTAAAGTCGGCGTTGTACTTGTCCATTTTATTCAAGAAGCCAATCACAGGGATGCCAAATTTTCTACTTTGACGCAAAACTGTGTAGCTCTGCGCCTGCACACCGGCGGAGGCGTCAAATAAGGCAACGACACCATCCACCACCCGCATTGCACGCTCAACCTCCACAATAAAGTCCACATGTCCAGGAGTATCAATGAGGTGAATGCTGTGATTCCGCCACGAAAACGAGACGGCGGCGGACTGAATTGTGATGCCGCGCTCCATCTCCTCCTTCATAAAATCCGTCGTGGTCGTCCCGCTATCCACATCACCGATGCGCTTTAAGGCACCTGCGTAGAAAAGCATGCGTTCTGTTGTGGTCGTCTTGCCGGCGTCGATGTGTGCCACAACCCCAATGTTGCGCATGCGTGCGATAGACGATTCCAGGGCGTCGGCCCTGCTGCCTGAAGACATTGTCACGGCCCGAGCGTTCTTGAGCGGCACACACTGCGTTAGTCGCCGCACCTTCAATGCCGAATTGCAGTGCCACAACGGAGCCACCTGCCGCCAGTGGCAGCCAACATGTTGTCGAAGCATGTGGGGGTTCTGGTCGTCAAAAGATGGAAGAAGAGATTCGTCGCCTTTGATGTAGAATCCGCAAAAAAAAAAAAAAAAAAAAAAAGACACATGCACCCCCTTTATAGCTGCTCCTTTTGTTGTTGTTTGGTGGAATAAACAAGGTTTTACTCCTCCCCACAAGAGCTGCAGTGAATAGAAGGTCGGCGGCGTCAATGGACAGTGTTGTTACCGGTTAGACTGGGAATTGGCGAATCTGGGTCCAATATATATATATATATATATATTTCCCGTTTCTGTTACCATTCACCCACGCATTCCTTACTCTTCTTCTTTGCAAAAATAAAAATAAAAAAAAAATATATTTGCCGCCTTTTTCCCTCCTCGTGGCCACCGGTGTGCACAATCAGATATTTATATAAAGCCCATTTGTCTTTGGCCTACGCAGACACGCGCCTCCTCTACAGAAAATATGTCCGTTCCCCCTCCGTTAATTACAAGCGCTCGCCCTGATCCTCTCGTTCTTACCGGTTTCCCTTTTTTTTTTATTCTTTTGCCTGTATTGTTGGCGGTGGTGGAGAAATGGGGCAGAAGTGAAATGCGTTGCTTCCCACAAACACACACACACACATACAGATAAATACAAAAAATTGCATGCATTCCTGTACATCATTTCTCGCTCGCTCATTGTACCCCTTTTTTCCCGGCGTGGGAGGCTTCAATGGCTCGTATCTTCTCAATACGTCGTACATGGCGCTCCTCGCCGCTAAACGGCGTCTGCAAGAACGTAATGATGATTTCCCGAATGACCTCCACACCAGTCGTCCGCTCTCCCACGCAAACAATGTTCGCATCGTTGTGGATCCGCGACATCGCTGCGGTGTAGTGGTCATGGCAGAGGGCAGCCCGCACCCCGGGAACTTTGTTGGCTGCGATGGACATGCCGATCCCACTACCGCATGCCAGCACGCCAAATTCCACCTCCTTCCTTGCCACCATTTCCGCCACACGACTGGCAAAGTCCGGGTAATCGACACTCTCCGCCGTTTTCGGTCCACAGTACACAGGCACAAACTCGTCGCCAGCCTCCTTCACGTACAGAATCAGATTCTCATGAATGGCGAATGCCGGATGATCCGTACCGATTGCGACTCGGCGCGTCATAGTGAATTGTAATCAAGATTGACTTTGTTCCCTTTTAAAATGGTGGCAAATGTCGCACCCCTGTATGAAAACAAATGGGTATGAAACACACTTCTTATCGATGTTTCTTATTATTATTGTTTTTGTTCTTATTGTTGTTCGTGTTCACTTTTGGTTGTTGGTTTTTTCCGTTCATGGTGGCATGGAGAAAAAACAAACAATACTAGGCGCCAAAGCCTCCCTCCCTCCCTCCCAAATTCCTCCTCCAGAGATATGCACCGCACAACACAGAGAGAAGTATATATATATATGTATATTTGGCACGTGTGTGCAGGAAGAGTAGGGAAGTTATATCACTGAATGATAATGGGAATGACGAAGGGCCCGCAAAAGAAACAATAATAAAAAAAAAAAAAAAAAAATGGCCTCTAGTTTTACGGTCTGGAGAAATTCACTAGTGGTTATTGTTGTTTTTGTTTGGTGCCCTCAGTCCCGATCCCCAATTCCTCGCTTGTTTCTCCTGCCATTTACAGGGCGGAGTGCCCCCCTTCCCATCGCCCGTGTCTTTTATTTGTTTTTTTCTCGCTCTCCCTTCCCAGCCACCGTCTTTTTTTTTCTTCTTCTTCTCCTCCTCGTTGCTGCCGTGGTGTTGTCATCTTTCCCTTTTGTTTTTGTTTTTGTTGTTGTTTTTTTTGGCCCCGTCATCCCCATTCTCATTTACCCATTTTTTGTTTTTGTTGTTCTTTTTTTTTTCCTCCTTCTTCTCCTTTGCACGTGTGTGTGTTGACCCCCCCCCCCCCCCTCCCTCGCACGCATCTTCACATTCGTCATTCATCGCCACCACCAGCGGCTTGTCGCCCACGCGCCGCTCATCCCAAAAAGTAGTCAGGGAGTACACGCATTAAGTATAAAACAACACATTTTGTCTCCGCGAATGGAACCTCCGTGCAGTAGTAAATTGTCTCTACATATCGCTGGCAGGCACCGTAGTGACCAATCCACACACACATGAGACGGAACATGTTACGGAAAAAACAACCGCCGTAGCGATAGTAATACTGCTCACTCGCGCTCATAGGGGCGCAGTGGCCATGAAACAAAAAGGCCGAACAACGCGCCGATCCATCGTTTGCCGTGCAGTAGCAAGAACCCTCTCTGGGAAGGCGACTTACACAGCTCCCAACTTGCTTCGCACGACGAATCCACCTTTTGTTGCAGTGATTGGGCGCGTTTCTTTGCTTCTTCCATTTCGCATAACTTACCATCGCCAGTGACTTGAGCCTTCTCAGTATTTCGTGGACAGCATCCCCCCCACCCAAGCGAGCGGCACGAACAAAAACCAACACACATGTCGTGACAACGCAGAGTCGTCCGGCGTTCTGAATCCTCTCCGCATTTAGTGGACCCAGCATGCTGTACACAAGTTTGTGTGGCTCCTGTAATAGCGCCCTTTCAAGCCCTGCAAGCGAGCCGAGGCCCCCATCACCCCCATCATCCACAAGTTCGGGAAAAAGTGGCACCAAAAACTGCGGTGGGGGACCAATGGGTGGCAATTCGATATCACCAATGATGAGTGCCCGGTCATAATCATCAAAGAAGCAGGGAAACGGCCGCTCCTCCAGCAGGAGACGATGCGGGGATCGCAAGAGTATCTGGAGCATATCCCACAACGAAAGTTTGGAATCTGCTGAAGAAGAAGAAGACAAGGGAAGAAAAAAGGCAGAAGCGTCGCGCTCTGCCGTTTTTGCGTCGGTCCCAGAAGGGCTTTTCTTTGCGGCTGCCCGCCTCTCGCTCAGAATCGCAACAAATCGTCTCGAGTATTTCCTAATGTAATTGAGACGATTTGGATGACCTGTCACGACGTCTCCTATGCGAGCAGGACCGTCCAATGTCTCTTTCACGTCCACCGTACGTGACGTCACAGGTTTCCAGAGATAATTCACTCTGGAACGCAGACCGGGAGTCAATGAAAGAAGAAGGCTGCGCAAAAACAAGTTTGTGTCACACCCGTGACGGCACATGCGCCGAAGAAGAACCCTCGCAAACGGCTCATTTTCCTCCCTATCTAATGGTGGTAGACGCAACAGCTGCTCGACA